ATACTAATTTTCTAGACAATCAATAATCTATAAGTTAGTTCAATATTGAATCAGTAATTAACATATGATCATCGAGCTGTGTTGAGTTTTAAAAAGTGTGAATGAAAAATGAAGAGTTTGACTTTTATAAAGAGTTGTGACTTTTATGAAAGGTTGTGACTTTTATGAAAAGTTACGACTTTATGAAAAATTGCGACTTTTATGAAATGTTCTGGTCTTTTCTAAAGACCGTGACTTTTCCAGTAAGGCACAATAAGAATTTTTTCACACTACCCTTTATTTTCTATAAATTGAGGAATTTCATCCCATTTTAAAGAAGAATTTCTTGACTTCTTCTACTGCTACTATATAAAGTATTCAAAGTGTACTTTATTTTCGTTGAGTGGCTCGCTGACACCAGTGTTTTGGGTATCAATACACTGGTGACTGAAATCATTTTATCCTGGGAGGACATATTCCAAATCAAACCTCGTATACTAGACACTGTGCATTCATTGGGTTTGATGTTCTTTCTGTTTTTCCAAATTCTAGTATATGTTACGGATTTTAAATTTGTGAATTAATTTCTGTTCTTCACTGGTTCATTAAATTTTGGTAACTTCGTATTTCTACAAAGTTTGTTGGAATCATTAAGATTCTTCAAAACACAGACTGACAACAATTCTTGTTTGAGAAAAATATTTTATATATTTTTTTTCTAATATGTTTCTAATTCTAGTTTCTCTACTAGTTTTAATTTTCTAGTTAAAAAATGTTTTTAAACTTTGTTGTGCCTTATCAAATTCTTCAAAATTTTGTTCTAAGTATCTTAAAAATACAAGATGAACAACAAACTATTGATAAGCCAAAGCAAGACTTCTCCGTGGGAACCCTTCGATAAAGGAGGTCTGTCTAGTCAAATAGGCTTCTAATAAGAAATTTGCCCATTCATTACTGTTAGAATCAAGCATCCACCATGAAAGTGTGAAATGAAGCTGCTAAGATTGTGTTGAGAAGAAGAAGAGGAAGGGGAAGAAGAAGAAGAAGAATGAGAGAAAACAGAGAGAAAACGTGACTGCCTTTAACATTCATATGCTTGATTGCTTACAAAGAAGGTAAAATGACTATTTTATACTAACTACTTAATGGTAATTAACTAACTAATCAATTTATTAACCATCTTAACTAACTAACAAATCTGTAAATTGTAGTAGTTCCTTCAATGCACTGCAATGTAACTTGTCAATTCCTCAACACCCCCCCTCAAGCTAGGAGCTGTGAAAATATTTTTCATTCCTAGCTTGGAAAGAAGATAAGAATGTTGACGGAAAACTAAGCCTTTGGTGAGAATGTCAGCCTGTTGCTCTGAAGTGCAGAGATGATGAAGAGATATCAGTCCAGTGTGTATTCGCTCGCGAATGAAATGACAGTAAATATCGATGTGCTTAGTGCGCTCATGAAAAACAGGATTAGAAGCGATCTGAATAGCAGATTTGCTATCACAATGTAATGGTACAGGAAGAGGTATCTTGACATTCAGTGCTGTAAACAAGCCTACAAGCCATACAATTTCTGCCACAGTAGATGCAAGACTGCGATATTCAGCCTCACCTGAGCTACGAGAAATGGTGGATTGTTTTTTTTATTTCCACGAAACAGGTGAAGAACCAAATTTGATCAAATAACCAGTAACTGATCGTCGAGTATTAGGACATGAGGCCCAATCAGCGTCACAGAACGCAGTTAAAGTGGAATCACAATCTGAAGAAAGAAAAATTCCTAGACCAGGAGATTTCTTGAGGTATCGAACAACTCTAGTAGCAGCAGTCATATGAGATAGCTTTGGAGAATGCATAAATTAGCTTAATTTCTGGACAGCAAATGAGATATCAGGTCTTGTATGAGTAAGATACAACAATCTTCCAATAAGTCGTTGATAGGAGCTGATATCAGTGAGTAAATGATCATCCTTAGTATCTATAAGACAATCAAGTTCTGTAGATGTAAATTTCTCATGTAGCTCAAGTGGTGAATTAGCTGGCTTGGCTCCAGATAACCCCAAGTCAGAAATAAGATCAAGAGTATATTTCCTATGGTGCATGACTATACCTTCAGTACTTCTAGCAAATTCAATTCCAAGAAAGTATCGAAGCTCACCAAGATCTTTGATTTTAAAATGAGAATGCAAACTGAGTTTGGTGTCCTGAATCATATCTAGATCATCACCAGTGATTAATAAATCATCAACATATACAAGAATGATGACAATCTTTCCTGCAGACTGTTTAATGAGCAAGGAGTAATCCAAAGGACTTTGAGTAAAGCCAAAGGAGAGCAAAACTGTGGTTAATTTCACATTCCATTATCTAGAAGCCTGCTTTAAACCATAAAGAGATTTGACTAGTTTGCAAGCATGTGTAGCTTTGTAGTTGTGAAAAAAACCTGGTGGCATAGTCATGTAAACTTCCTCTTCCAAATCACCTTGTAAGAAGGCATTGTATACATCCATCTGATGAATAGACCATTTTCTGGTAGCAGCCAAGGAAATCACTACCCTTACAGTAACCATTTTAACCACGGGGGAAAATGTATCTTGATAATCAAGGCCTTCAAGCTGGCTATAACCCTTAGCCACCAACCTTGCTTTGAATCTGTCAACTGTGCCATCAGCTTTATACTTTATCTTGAACACCCATTTACAACCAATTGCTCTTTTATCAGTAGGTAAAGTCACAATCTCCCATGTATGATTATCTTCCAAGGCCTGAATTTCTAACTCCATTGGCCTCAACCCATCTAGGATCTTTGGCAGCCTGAGCATAGGACTTAGGCTCTATATCAGCAGAGAATTTAGCAATAAAACTCTGATAAGTAGGAGATAAGGAATCATAGTTCATAACATCACTAAGAGAATACAGACAAGTAGAAGTAGAAGTTTTTGTAGGTACAACAAAATCTTTCAACCAGATTGGAGGTTTGATGGATCTTGTAGATTTTCTAGATGTAGGAAAAGACACAACTTCAGAAGAATGAAGTGTGGATGTTGATTGTAAGCCAGTAGAAGACTGAGTACCAACACTAACAGAGGATGATTCAGTAAAAGGAAAAGTAGAAGTATTAGGAAGTTCAGGAAGACTAGAAACTGATTGTGTAGGTGGTGGAATATGATCAGGAGAATCAAGATGCAGGAAGAACTCATGGTCTGATGTTACAGAGTGAAACTCTGTGTAATCTTTAGATAAAAATGGAAAACAAGATTCATGAAACATAACATCTCTACTGATAAAGACCTGTTTCTTAGCCAAGTCATACACCTTGTATCCCTTTTGATATAAACCATATCCCACAAAGACACACTTAACAGCTCTTGCACCAAACTTATCTTGCCTGGGCATGACTGTTACATAACATAGACAGCCAATGACCCTCAAGTGTGACAAAGAGGGTGCTCGACCATAAAGCATTTCAAATGGTGACTTGTCTTTCAAAACAGTAGAGGGTACTCTATTAAGTATATATGCAGCTGCCTCAACACAACATCCCCAGAATTTGGATGGTAAATTGCCTTGAAATTTGATAGCTCTGGCTGACTCTAAAAGATGTCTATGCCTCCTTTCAACTACTCCATTTTGTTGTGGAGTATATGGACATGAACTTTGATGCAGAATACCATGAGTTTTGAATAATTCACCACATGTATTGTTAAAAAACTCTGAACCATTATCAGTTCTGAAAACTTTCACATGTTTCTCAAACTGATTCAAAATCATAGCAAGAAAGGTTTTGAGTATACTAGATACATCAGACTTGAGTTTGAGCAAAAAAACCCAAGTCCATCTAGAGTAATCATCCACTAGAGTAAGGAAGTAGTTCATGCCATTATAAGTAGTGATTTTGTAAGGTCCCCAAACATCCATATGGATCAATTCAAAACAAGTAGTAGATGCAGTAAGACTATGTGTGAAAGGAATTCTAGTCTGCCTGGCCATAGGGCATATATCACATTTGTTCTAATGCACTACTACATGAATTAGAAATGCTAGGAAGCTTCTTCAAGACTGGCAATGGTACATGACCCATTCTTCTATGCCAGAGTTCTGAGTTTGGCAGCTTCTGTGCAACTAAAGAATGACTGGTAATCGATTGACATTGACATTATGTTCTTTCAACAAGTAAAGTCCATGTTGTTCTCTACCAATCATCTTCACCCTCCCATTGGAGAGATCCTGAAATGTACAAAAATCAGGATAGAAAGAAATGCAACAATTCAACTGTTTAGTAGCCTTAGAAACAGACAATAGATTGAACTTGAATGTTGGCACATATAGCACATCTTTAAGAACATCACCTCCTACCAGATGACTGCTACCAACATGTCAAATATCAGTAGACTCCCCATTAGGTAACTGCACTTTTCCTGTGTTCCCTACTTCAGTTCCACCAACTAACAGATGTGAGTTACCAACCATATGATTAGTAGCACCTGTGTCAATAATCCAATTAGGATTAACTTCAGATGTATGAGAGGATATACCTGCCATGTATGCACTAGCATTTTATTCCCCTTCAGTGTTTAACAATCCCAGAAGTCGTGTGTATTGTTCATGAGTGAACATAAGAGAAGTAATAGATGTAGCTGGTATAGCATTTGATGCATTCCCTTCAGCTTGTACTAGATTGCTACCAGCATGTAAATCCTTTCTTTTCGATTTAAAATCAGGTGGATAACCTATCAACTTATAACATTTCTCTTTCAAATGACCAGTAAAGTGACAATGGCTACACTTCATTAATTTGAAACACTTATCCCTAGTGTGCCTTGGACATGACAAAAGTCACATTCCACTCCATATTCTTAGGCTTATGTTCGAACCTCTAGCAGTGAATAAAGCAGTAGGATCCATACCTCCACTACCTGCTGTTAGTTTTTATTTTCATCTTGTAATATCATTGCATAAGCTTGGTTAACATTTGGAACATGAGATTTCATCAAAATTTGACTTCTAGCAGTAGAATATCCATCATTGAGTCCCATAAGGAACTGCAACAACCTTTGATACTGAAGATGTGTTGCATACCTCTTTAGACTTAGTGCAGTCGCAACAGGGTGGAGGCATCAACGAATCATACTCATCCCAAAGATCCTTCAATTTGGAATAGTATGTAGAAACTGATGAAGTACCCTGTACTGAAGAGAAAATTGACTTGTGCAACGAGAACATTCGTGATGCTGTAACTCTATTAAATCGTTCACGTAAATCCTCCCATATCATATGAGCACTAGATCGAAAAAGCACTCCATTAATCAGATCTCGACTCACATTGTGCATAATCCATGACTTAACAATCGCATTACAATGATCCCACAGCAATTCATACGCAGGTCCATAAGTACCTCTGTTAATAGATCCATCTACAAAACCAAGTTTGTTACGAGTCAACAATGAGAGTTGCATAGCTTCACGCCAGATTGAGTAGTTCTCCATCCCAACAAGTGGTATACCAATTGACATTGAGCTAGGAGCATCGAAAACATGAAGATACAGAGTATGGTGGTAATCAATACCAAGCTGATCCTTAGATCGATTAGAATCAATGACAGTAGCATTGATATGAGTATCGATGAAAGCTTCATTAGTCTCCATCGAAAACAAGAACAAATTTGCAGAAAGAGAAAAACAGTAAACAAGAGAATCTCTCGATTTCCAATCAATCCACGAAGGAAATTCCTAGATCCACTTGATCAATGCTCTGATACCATGTTAGAATCAAGCATCCACCATGAAAGTGTGTAATGAAGCTGCTAAGATTGTGTTGAGAAGAAGAAGAGGAAGGGGAAGAAGAAGAAGAAGAATGAGAGAAAACAGAGAGAAAACGTGACTGCCTTTAACATTCATATGCTTGATTGCTTACAATGAAGGTAAAATGACTATTTTATACTAACTACTTAATGGTAATTAACTAACTAATCAATTTACTAACCATCTTAACTAACTGACAAATCTGTAAATTGTAGTAGTTCCTTCAATGCACTGCAATGTAACTTGTCAATTCCTCAACAATTACTTGTGAGTCACAAGCCAAAACTCCAACAGAACCTGGAGCGTGAATGAATCTTCCAGAAAGGAGTTTGATGGGTGTGAAGGACCCGAAAGAGGAAGTGGCTCCTCTAATCCCAGAGCATCACCCTCCGCTTCTCGATGACGACACCCGTTGAGCGGAGCTCGCGAGTAGGTTAAGAACCCTTTTATGGGGAAAAGATTATAGGGAAGAAATGATAGACGGTATTTGCTCAATCATCTCATTCTCTCTTTCTTCATTTTCACTAACCAATATATTGATCTTCAATTAAGCAAAACAATTTTCTTTAGCTCTACTTAAGCTGATAATTATGTAGTTGGAAATCATAGTGAGAAATATATGAAAATCTAAATTTCGAGGAGGCATGCACATAACATTTATTTAACAAATATACTTACAATACTAACTACGTATGGTAGTTTTTAATAGGCACGGTTTATCCAATAAGAAAACTAACGAATTAATTTGTACACTTATTATTAATCCGATAATTCTATACCTACCATTTAGGTTCTGAAGGAAAATTTCAAAAGTCAAGCTAAAAAGCAACGTTTATATATTGTCCCTTTAAATGATGATAATGCTAAGCTACAAAAGGATGATGATGATTGTAGAATGTATCATGAAAACAGTAATTTCTTATTTGAAACAAGGTGGAGTTATCTCAACTCTTAAGCAAGAAGGTAAAGATTAATTAACTAAGATAAAATAGTTATCTTAATTATATTTATATCTATACATCATGTCAACAAGGAATTAAAATTAAAACTAAGAGTAGTTAGTAATGATAAGAATGAAATGAGAAAGAGAGAGGAAGGGATGATGTATTTTGATCGAAATTGTTGTTACGATATCAAACTTATAGAGGATTCTTTATCCCCTGCACTATTTAATAGTGCATTTTAGAGGTATATATGTGTCCATGTGTACACACTACTATTTACAATTATGCAATATTTTATGTCCACGTGGGTATATATATACCTTTAAAATACACTATTAAATAGTGTAGGAATAAAAAATCCTTCGAAATTTAATATCCTTACATCAATTTTGATCAAAATTTAGATATATTTGAGCCCTTTTCTCTTTTTAAAGTCTAACTACTATATCACAAAGAATTTAAGCTATATTTCATATAAAAATAAAAGGATACCAATTTTAAATTGAATTGTAACATTTTACTTGACTAAATGTTTGTTCCTCAAGTTGTGATGGCTTTTAATATATATTATGGTATAATCTTGAAAGTGATAGTTGCAACAAAGAAAGAAGGGCACTGGGGTCATGACTCATGATGTGCTACTTCTTAGGAATTTAGTAACTTTCACATAGATATTATATTTATATTGATAAATCTCTTATATATATAAGAGATATTAGTTAAGAGTTCAGTAACAAATTATTTTTCGATTCAAGAGTGGAAATGGAACTTGCTTAAGGTTGAAGGTTCGATTCCTCTTGAGCATTTAATAATATGGTTTTTAAATTTAATTTTGAAATAACTTAAAATTCACATCTTAAATTCGCCTGAACAAATAATTATCACATAAAGTCAACACTGAAATTATCTCGAATTTTAAAAAAATATCTTAACTTTCCAATCGTCCTATTACCCCACTAAATAATTTTGAATAGATATAATTATATTATTTTTCGCCCACCTGACATAGAGATTGGTGTGCACTCTCTTAAAGACAGTGAGCAACCTATAATAAATAATATAATTTTATTTTTTATAAGTACTTTATTATAAAATATATTTTCTTATTTTTCATGTTATTTTAACTTGTTTTCCTTTTTATTTTCGTTCTCTTTCTTCTTTCGTCTTTCCTCTTCAAAAATTCATTTTCATCTCCATTCATTAAAGCTTCTTACTTTCAATGTCATCATTCTTATCACAACTTCATCTTCTTTTTTTATTACTACTAATTTTACTCTCTTTAATTTTAAAATTTTATCTAAGTATTTTCTTAAATTTTGAACAGTTTGATAAATCCATTAGATTTCAAGATGATTAGGAAGTATCATATTATTTTTTTTATATCCGATTTCAATTAATTTCTTTCAATTTTTGGGAACTAATTGATTCTTTTAAAATTATCATTTCTAATTTTTGAATTTATATGAAAATGGGTAGTTTATGATACCTTCTAAATTTACTAAAAAAATAATTAATTTTGCTATTAATAATTCAATAAAATCTAAAAAAATAGTATAAAATTTTATAAAGAATTGATCAGAAAAAAGAAAAAGAAAACAAAAAAATGGGACTGGACTCAATTTGACATGGGTGTAGCTGGTGAAGAAAAAAAAGATAATTGAGGAATGAATCACTTGAAAGTGGGATGGGAGATAATGTGAAATTTAAGATAAATCAAAATTAATAGTCAAAAAGTAAGAAATAGAAATAAAGGTTAAAAAAGATAAAGGAAAAACTTAAGATTAAAAAAAATATATTTTAAATTAAATTAACATGTGTCATGCAATGATTGGTGTGTGAACGAACTTTCTTCTTAAAACTTGGGACTGATCAAAAAATGATACAATAATATATATTTAAAATTATTTAACGGAATAATAAAATAGCTACAAAGTTAAAATTTCTTTTTACAAATTTAAAATAACATTAATGATCACTTTATGTCTTTTCTCGATAAACTATTGAGCTATGAAAAAGATGCGCATGGCATGGCTAGGATTCCCTTACACATGCTATGATGATTTGTTTATTGTTAATTTAGTTTAATTTATGCTAATTAATTAGTGTCATGTTTATCCCGACAAGTCAAGGTCTTGTTTCCCATCTTCAAACTTGGGATTTTAAATCCTAATTAACACCTAATAAAGATTGGATCAAAACACCTAGATAATCAAAATTATCCCACTAATTGTGTTTTGTTTAATGTCAAAGGTATCTTTTATCACGTGGCACAGTCATAACTACGTCCTTTAACATTTTTAATTTTTTTAAAAAAATTGAAAGAAAGTTTTATCCTTTAGGGGTTCTTTATTTAATTATATGGATTAACTAAACCTTAATTAACTTTAGACAGCTTTATATATTATCTAATTTAGTCCATCTCTGTGGACAGCTATTGATCCAATAAAACACATAACATTCCGCTAATCATAGTATTTCCAAGACCAATGGATGGTATACCAAAATTACTAGGATGCTAGATCTTTTTTATCTGTTTTTTTTGTATGAAAACCACCAGATGTATTTTTAGATCAAAATATTAATTGAAAGTGTTTTTAGATGATTTTTACAGTCTTCTTTAACCCTATTATAATGTGTGCATCTGGTAAACCTTTAGGGGTCGTTTGGTACAAAGATTAGTAATGTAGGAGTTAGTAATGTAGAGATTGGTAATGTAGGGATTAGTAATAAAAGGACTATTTTTATTAAGTATTTGGTTTATTGTTTCTTACCTAATTTTTTGTGTGGTTTAAAAGTTTTTTTTTAAAAAAATCTTTCCAATTATACTTTAGAGTTATTATCAGATTTTTTATTTCATGTAATTGAGTCAATGTAGATAAATGATGAAGAATATTATTTTTTATAACATTTTTAACTAGCTAGGAGAATAAAAACTTTATTGTCATATTCACTATTTTCTCACTTAAATTATTTGAGAATAAATAATTGTCATCTTAATAAATTTGAATTAATATCTCAAAAGGTCACACAACTATAATGATTTATAAAGAAAATGTATTGAACTTTTGTTTTGTATCAATAAATTTTTTAAAAAACTCTTTATCATGAAATAAAATAAAAATAAAAATAAAAATAGCAAAAAATATTAAACTATTTTTATAATCAAGACGTGTGTGTGTATATATATGCATATAATATATAAATACACACACTCTTGTTTCAGACTAATTGTATAATGTTTAATGAACTTTTTTTAACAGACACTATTTTACTTATGAATTGTTCTTAAATTCATACATCAACATTAGCATATTAGTCGGATTATAATATTTTATATTAATAATAAATAGACTAAATAACTCATATTTTAGAACCAAAAAATTATATTTAAATAATAAAATTTGTAATCTAATTTATTTAAATATATTTATTAGTATAAATATAAAATATAAAAACAAAAAAAATAAACAAAATGATTAAAAGGATTTGAGGGATTTTTGTCTTTACCTAGATTAGTCCCATGGTATTAGAGCTAATACCACCAAATGGAAGGTATTAGTTATACACCTTCTAATACCATGTAGGGTGCATAACTAATCCTTGGATTTATAATACATAGACCCAAAATTCCTACCAAACATATTATTAAATAATACAACACATAATATTTGGACTATTTCTCCTAATACTTTCTACCAAACGACGCCTTACTGTATAATAATCTGCAAACATCACAAAGAATGTAAACTGTATTAGACAAGCTCGACTCATAAAATATTGACGGGATCGATCCCTGGATGGTGTTGAAGGAAATGCCAAAACAATATATTCTAACAAACAAACTAGTTAATTAGCTAAAACCTAAAGCTATTAACTAATTAGCTTTCTAGCTATATATCC